CTTTAATTAAGATCTGGATTACAATTTGAAGACTTTTTTAAAAATAAATTTTTATCCAACTTTATCCGGTCATTAGTTTTTCAAAACCACTATTTTCAAGAATTATCCCATCAAAAATTGTTGAGCTTATTTTGATGGGATAATTCTTGAAAATAGTGGTTTTGAAAAACTAATGACCGGATGAAGTTGGATAAAAATTTACTTTTAAAAAAGTCTTCGAATTGTAAATCAATCTTAATTAAAGGTGGTGATTTAAATATAATTTTTATATGTTATTAAATAAATAAATATATTTAATATTATAAATTTTAAATAAAAAAACAATCAATTAAATGATATATAAAATTATAAAAAAATTAATATAAAAAATTACTCATAAATAAAATTTCCCAAATTAATGCATTGTGATTCTAAATATGCCGTTCTCCTCATTACTATCCCTACATTGCCGTTTAACTTAACCTGGCCTTTTCAACATGCCTTTTCCAAACACATCAATTCACATTAATCTCTCAAATTCATTTACTTCTGCGAATTTTTGACATTTTATAATTTCTATTCAACAAGAAGGAGAAAACATGCTGGTTGCCCATCCGGCCAAAAAAATGTTGTTTGCCCTGCAAAAACGTTACGGAGCCGGAAAATGGAGTCACACATGGGAGCAGAGAACTTGCGCCCCACAAAGCTTTAAGCATTAGCATACCCAATTATGGTGGTACTGAAGCAAACTTCTGGAAAATTTTCAACAAAGCCAGTCAACCAAAGCAATATGATTGGGGGAGGGAATGGCAAACTAGAATTGACATATTACATCAATTTTCTGGAGAGTTTTGGATGGAAAATTGGGATATTTTAAAGGCAATAAGGTCAATGATCTGTGTTAAGCTCCGGATATCTTTGTTATCGAAGTGAATTTTTTTTTCTAAAGAATGGCATATGTTGTTAAATTTAGCTTGGGAATAGGGGCAAATTCGGGAGTGCAAGGTACTTATTGGAGATAATTTAATATTTTATGACTTTTTGGAAATAAATTTCTAACCCATCCTATCCGTTCATTAGTTTTTTAAAACCACCCTTTTTAGGATTAGCCAAAACTAATGGTACCACGAAAGGAAAACAAGACAATAGAAAGAATGAACTGTACATATCAGAATTAATACAGGATTGCTGTTATCTTCTTAATTGATATCTGATTGCTTTTCCTTAATTATCGCCTTATAGAATTAGCAGTGAACATCCACATTTCCAAGAAATCACTTGAAAATTGTCCCAAGTCAACCACAAAGGTTGGATTGCATTTTTCCGCAAATGATGATGAAGATCTATGTAGACAATTAAATTAAAAGCTAAAACTTGCACAAGTAGACAAATTTGTTGTGGGATGCTGCTGTTGTTCTATAGGACGCTGTTGAAAAAGAAGTAATATACACCTTAACTGAAAAAAAAACAAAAAATAAAATAAAATAAAATATGGGAAGATCTAAAACTTGCATATCAACAATTAGGTAAATCACTAGCTTGTTCAAAGTTGAATAAAAGAAATAAAAGAAATCACATTGATAAGATTTATTAACAATCAAAAGTGTCTTATTTTACAATTTAAATTACATTGGATATAATTTAAATTATATCAAACTATAAAATAAATAATATTGAATGAAAGATGGAATCTTCGATATCAAGGGGTTCACTCATATCTAATATAGTTATGATTGCTAGGTTCGATGCAATCTGAACTTCACAACACTTTTCTCAACAATCAATATCTTTGAA